CACACATGTCAGAATGGCTAAAATTAACAACATAGGAAAGAACAAGTGTTGGTGAGAATGCAGAGAAGTGAAACCCTCTTGCATTCCTCTTGTGGGAATGCAAACTGATATAGCCACTCTTGAGAACAATATGGAGGTTCCTCAAGAAACTAAAACTAGAACCGCCCTATGATCCAGCATTTGCACTATTAGGTATTCATGCAGAGGATACAGAAGTACAGATTTGAAGAGGGACACCCGCCCCAATGTATAAATAGCAGCATTATCAACAATAGCCAAACTATGGGGAGAACCCAAATGTCCATTGACTGAAGAATGGATAAAGAAGATGTGGGGGGTGTGTATGTGTGTGTAAACATATATACATATATATATATACACACACACACACACACACACACACATATATATATATACACATATATATGTATATCACTCGGCCATCAAAAAATCTGAAATCTTGCCATTTGCAGTGATGTGGATGGAGCTAGAATGTATTCTGCTAAGCAAAATAGGTCAATCAGAAAAGACAAATACCAGATGATTTCACTCATATGTGGAATTTAAGAAACAAAACAGATGAACATAGCAGAAGGAAAGGAAAAATAAGATAAAACAGGAGGCAAAGCATAAAAGACTCTTAAATACATAGACAAAGTAAGGGTTGCTAGAGAGGAGATAGGGGATGGGCTAAATGGGTGATGGGTACTAAAGAGGGCACTTTTTGTGATGAGCACTGGGTGTTGTATATAACTTATGAATCATTGAATTCTCCTGAAACCAATATACACTGTATGTTAACTAACTAAAATTTAAATTTAAATTTAAAAAATATATATGAAAAAAAAAGAAAATCCCAAAGAATGCACAGTAACTATGTTCCTTATTGTATAACCCTGAAAAATTAAATAATTTGTGTTTCAGTTTTCATGTCTGTAAAATAGAGATTATATTTACCACAGAGAGTTATTTTAAACATTAAAATATATAGCTTGTAGAGGAGTGCCTGGGTGGCTCAGTTGGTTGAGCATCTGACTTTGGCTCAGGTCATGATCTCATGGTTTGTAAGTTCGAGCCCTCCATCAGGCTCTGTGCTGACAGCTCAGAGCCTAGAGCCTGTGTCAGATTTTGTGTCTCCCTCTCTCTCTCAGCTCTTCCCCTGCTCATGCACTGTCTCTTTCTCCTTTAAAAAGAACCAAAGAACAAGAACTTTAAAAATAAAATATAGTTTGTAGGTTGTAAGATAACAAGTACAGTGTTTTGACTTTAAAAAGAGCTCAACAGATGCATAGGAGCACATGTACCCCAATGTTCATAGCAGCACTCTCAACAATAGCTAAAACATGGAAAGAGTCTAAGTGTCCATCAACGGACGAATGGATCAAGAAGATGTGGTTTATCTATACCATGGAACACTACATGGCAATGAGAAACAATGAAATCTGGCCATGTATAGCAACATGGATGGACCTTGAGGGTGTTATGCTTAGCAAAATAAGTCAGGCAGAGAAGGACAAATACCATATGTTTGCACGTATAAGAGGATTAGGAGGAACTTAACTGAGGACCATGGGGGAGAAGAAGGGGGGAAATGGTGGGGGAAAGGGAGAGAGGCAAACCATGAGAGACTCTTGAATGCTGAGAAACAAACTGAGGACTGATGGATGTGGGGGGGAGGGGGGAGATGGGCATGGGGGAGGGCCCTTGTGGGGATGAGCACTGGGTGTTATATGGAAACCAATTTGACAAACTATTTGTAAAAAAAATAACAGAAAGGAGACAGTGAAAAAATAAAAAAAATAAGAGCTCAACAAAAAGTTAGCCATATATTTCATTGTTACAGTCCAGCTATCATCATCCAAAATAATCAGTTTAGATAAATAGAATTAACTAGATAAATAGAGGCTCTATGACCTATTTACCTTTTTCTGTATAAGACATAGTAAGTATTAGGAGGGTAAAGAGAAACCTTTTTTCTCTGTAACGTTCATATAACTTTCAGGTTTCTTGAGATTTTATACGAAAACGGTCTCTTACAGGTAGTAATTCTGATATAAGTTTTTAGTAATGGAATTAATTGAAAGTTCATTTGTGGACTTTGAGAGTGTCAGTGGAGTAGTAAGACAAAAATCTGTAAGGTGGAAATCTGAATGTAAGAGTTTAATTTCAGTATGGAGGAGTAGAGACTGCATTAGACCATTATTTTGAGCACTGATTTGTGAAAAAAAGAATATTTGTTAAATTAAGTAAAAGGAGAGTTAAGCAGCATCAGGGGCCCAGCAAATACGTACTTGTAATATTGACCATCAATACTGTTGTAAAATTTCCATAGCTCTCACCGCTTAGGCCAGAGAGCGAAGAAAACAAATAGTTAGGAAATCCAGGCTTGCACATGAAAAGGACATGTGTGTGGCAGGTTAACGGGCTGAGTAATTAACCTTTTTTCTATTTATAATTATCCCTAGCTTTACTGAAGTATAATTGACAAATAAAATTGTATATATTTAAAGTGTATAACGTGATGATTGAAGCACGCGCGCATGCCTCTGTGTGTGTGTGTGTTTGTGTGTGTGTACCCATTCCATGAAACTGGTTGCCATCAAGATGGGAAGAGCTGATTTCAGTTAGGAAGAAGTAAAAGGAGGAGAGGAAAGGAGATTAAAATAAAGGTGGGGGTCACCTGACTGACTCAGTCAGTGAAGCATGCAACTCTCAATCTCAGGGTCATGAGTTTGAGCCCCATATTAGGCATAAAGTTTACTTAAAAATTAAATTAGAATGTAAAAAATAAAATAATGGGAAGAATGATTGATTGTCCACCAGTCTACTTGGTCTTGCAGTGAAGACCAGTTTCCCTGCAAAAGCAGCTTAGGCATGTGAAGGATATCCTCAAAACAGTTTCCCCAGATATTTGATACTCCGTTCCTACAGCTCTCCAAGGTTGCCAAAAACAGTTTGCTTAGCTGAGCCCCTCAATAATATCTTAACTTGCGAGAGAATTACTAACAGGCCTTTTGGGGATGCTACATTGCACAACTCCTGGGGGCATCATTCACATCTCACTCTATCTGAATAAAGCTTCTTGGAGTCATTCAAGATGGCAACCCTCCAGGACCCACCCCAACACAATTCCATGAGGGTCAACAAGGAATATCATCAGTTCTTTAAGGTCTGGTAAGACAGTAGAGAGGCTCCGTCACTTCAATCCTCCCAGGGAAAGAACCCTTAGGATTACTTCTCATAGCAAAGTAACACATTTGCCTCAGCTGTGCCCTCCTGAGGTAGTTGGTAATTGTTAGTATAATGTAGGGCAAGCTGGAGGTCCCCAGCCCTGGATGGGAGTCACTTAAGCCCTCTTGCTCCTTCAGACTCAGTTCAATGGAAGGGGCTGGAGTTCCTTTATGACACTATCTCTCAAACTAAGGTTCAGGTGGTAAGCAAGTAAGGCCTCAAACAAGTGACTTTTAATTGAAATAATAGGGGTGCCTTGGTGGCTCATTTGGTTGAGCATCTGACTCTTGATCTCAGTTCAGGTCATGATCTCACACAGTTCGTAGGTGTGAGCCCCAAGTGGGGCTCTGCCTGGATTCTCTCTCTCTCCCTCTCTCTCTACTCCTCCTTCACTCATGCATGTGCTCTCTCATGCTCTGTCTCAAAATAAATGAACTTTTTTAAAAAAGTACATCATAATAAAGGAGATTTTTTTTAAAGAAAAAATCACCTGCAGTTCCATTTTTCTCACATAAGATTTAGCTTTTGCATAAATAACTCTCCGTTCTTTGTTTGCATACTTAATCTATTTTACTTGGTTGATATATACTGTACCTATTCATTAGATATGAAAATTTAACATTGTATTTGTCTTATTTTTAGTAGCACAGAAATGTTAATACATAACACTGATGTGATTTTGAAAAGCATTTAAATAGAATTTCTAATTTCTCTCATAAAATCAATAGTATAGATTTGTGGTCTCTGAGACAGTAGTCACTGGCCAGCCACACATGGCTAATGAGCATTTGAAATGTGACTAGTCTGAAATGAGATGTGCTATGAGTATAAAGTACATACTGGATTTTAGAAAAAACATAAAATATCTCATGAATTATTTTTATTGATTACATCTTGAAATGATAGTACTTTGGATATATTGGTTAAATAAAATAATATTACTAATATAAGTTCACTTGTTTCTTTTTACTTCTTTTAATGTGACTACTAGAAAATTTTAAATTATGTATGTGGCTTACATTTTATTTCTATTAGACTGCACTGATATAGATTATCATATACAGTTATGAGACTATATAAAATTGGAAAAGACACTAAAACTACAAGATCAAGGGAATGGTGAAATCATCTTTGGTATGTTTACTAGGTACAATATTGTGCAGCCTTTAAAATTATAAACATATGGGTGATGTGGCCAAAAAACATACATGTAATATTATATTAAGGGCAGAAAGTATGAGATAAAGTTATAGAAATGTTTTAAAAAAACCCAAAAACCTAAGAGAATTTTTCCAGTATGGTAACATGCTAACTAGAAATATGTGCAGTAGATAGGATTACAAGTGAAGTTTTCTTTGTTTTCGAATTTAATAGAGTGTTTTTGTAATCTTTTTCACACTGAAATATATGAAAACCTTAAAACTTACTTTTCTACTACAAAAATTACTGGGTAACACTGATTCACAGGCTTTGATGATGGTATATTAGTGTTCACTGTGAGAAGGGAGCAAGCCAAGTAATCACATCTTCACATCCTCTCTCACTGCTCAGTGAAAATCCCAAAGACAGGACAGGGCGATTGGTCACATACCTGTGTTTGTAAAGGGATGAAAGAACAATGGAGGAGCATTTATGTCTTCTACCATTTTGTAAAGAAAAGAATTAGAAAACTGAACCTAAGACCTTTCACCTAAAGCTGTGAAAATGATGTACTGTGTTTAAATGCTAGTCTTGCTACATATATATATATTTTTTTTTTTCATTTATAGATTCATGGCATTGCTATCTAAAGTTGAAAAATCATCAGAAGAAATCGTGGAAATAATGCGAAATTTAAGGAGTATACAGGTTTGCTTTTTTTTTTCCTTTGAGGTGTATAAATTTTCATATATCTACTACCCCATTTGAAAAAGGAAGATAGGAGAGGAGCCCTAAATTGGAGAATCCAGTCCAGGAAAGAACTTGCAGAGAGTATGTCTAATTACTTTATGGGAATTTCTTTTCTTATATGAACATTAATTAACCATAATCCTTTAGTGATATCTGACTTTTTCACATTTGAAAGTAAATTTTTGGATCATGTTTAGTGTTTTTAATAAATTGTTTTTATTCAGGCATTTTAAAGCTTGCAGTAGTTGACCTATCAGAATAAGTTACACTTCCTATCACAGAATTCAAGTTTTTCAGGTGAAAGAAACAGTAAACTGTATTTTCACTAGACCTGTCAGCCATGTTATATTCGTAGAGAACTTAACTCATATAAGGTGTCTTTCTTTTAGGCTTTGGAGGGCAGTAGAGAGCTTGGAAAGCTCATTGGTATCTCCCGTACGTCTTGTTTCTTCTTACAAAGAGAAATGCAGAAAACGAAAGAACTAAGTAAGAAAAATTCATAAGTTTTCAATGGCATCTCCATTCCTTATTTGTGAACTTAGATATATATTCTAACATTGTCAATTTTAGAGATAAACCGAATAGTTTTTCCCATATTTAAATTGATAGATGTTTTTATCTATGGGACTATGGACTTGTATTAAAATTTTATTTAGAAAATAAGAAGCCACATACCTTTTACCAGGATATGTTATTTCAGGGATTCTTGATGAAATGAAGGGAAAGAATATGCCTTGAAAATGGCTATCAGGCTTTTAAAAAATTTGGTGCTCGTTCTTTAAGGAAGATATAAGATATTGCATTTTGTACTTGATACCTGTATCTATTACTTCAAATTACTTTTTCTCATTAAGTTATTCCAAGATGAAAAATTATTTGAATTCCACATTAATTCTTAACATGGAATTTTTTTTAGTGACAAAAGTAACAAAACAAAAACTGTTTGAAAAGAAGAGCTCAGGACTTCCCAACAAAGGTAAAGAGTTGTGTTTTAAGTTATATAAAAAGATCCTTTCATCTCATTTCACCATTCAAAACCAATCATCATGAGCCCTTTTTTAGTGTGATCTTCTAAAAGATCATGAATCTCATTTGAAAAACCTTATATTGGAAAAACTTCCCTGATGATTAAACTTTTAAAATGTCTTTTGAAATACAGTTTTCAGTTTAAGATTTAAATTTTGTCTTTTTATTAAAAGTTCTTTCTAAAGAATACAGACAAATAAGGGCAACAACACATTAAATATATAGCAATTTTTAGCATTGAATTAGGATTGTACATTGCATGAAAAGTTTCTCTGTCACCAGTGTTCTGAAAACTTTGAGAGCATTACTGATGTTTGATCTACTGTGAACTGACGTGCCTCTGAGCATTTCACAGAATGGAACCTAAATTAGCAGGTTTTCCTATAAACGTGCACATCCATACCTCAGTAAGCAAAATGATCATGGACTATAAAATATTAAAAACTTTAGACCAACTTAAGAGTTTTAATATTACTGACATCAGTGCCATTTTGCAGTCCCTGCAAATATATGAGGCATAACTGAAACCATTTCAACCAATCTAGTATATGAGACTGTATATAGGATTTAAGATCTTTAACAAATCTGTGAGGAGACTGCATCATAACGGGAAGTGTTGGGGTTCCTGCTGGTTACTTCCGAGGCCACCTAGGTCATTACTACAGGGCCACAACCCTGGCAGCGCTCCTCCGGAACTCATGCTGGAAGAGAGCTGAGCAGGCTTTCCGAGCCTTTCAGTTGAGCAGCTAACTTCCGCCACGATCCCAAGAATTTAAGAACATGAAAGTAGCTCTTAGAAAAGTCTTGAGGTCTCTCCCCTCCTAGACTGTGAAACTTGATTATAATGTGTAACTGGATTTCAGTGGTTTCAGTCTCTTTTAACTTGATAAGTTTTAGAGGATCGTAATGGGAAATTGGAATGTTTATTATTTCCCACCCAGAGGAAATCTCTCATCTGTATATTCTGTGCCAGTGGTGTGAATATTTTTTTTTTAATCTATAATTTCCTAGAATTGATTAGAACTCGGCTTTACATAGGTGTCTTTCACCAAGTTTTGAGAAATGAGGAAGGGAAAGTTATAGAATAAATAAGTGAATTGTCATTTTTAATAATGGGAAAAATTTTTTTTTCTGAAAGTATTGCTTCCCTCCCTAAACATTTATTAAGACATTAAAGTTTAATTCCATGTGTTAAAAGTTGTCTCTTTTCAATTATCTAGTATATACCAATTCTTTGTGTGTTTATTCATGACCAGCCTTAAAACTATTTTCTAGTATCTTAGGCATTAAAACTGACTTGCCCTTTACCAGGTCTTCCCTAAGGACCAAGTGTTTTTTCATGTATAAAGGAGATCCTATGACTAAATCATGTTTTAAAATTTCTAATAAGCATTGATTATTTGTGTGGTTTAAATGAAAACTGAATTTAGATGTATAAAATATGTGGTAGTTATATCTATAGATATATATTTTATATGTATGTATTAGAATATTCGTCATCTTCCATCTGTTTCTCGGCAAGAGCTGCCTTAGCTCTTTATATTTCCTGAGTTTATTCAAATCTTCATTAGCTTTTTAACTAATTTTTTAAAACTATTATTGTCTGAAATACATACATTTATTTATTTATATAAATAGATATATAACCTTTTTGATGAGTTAATAATTTTCAACCCCTTTTACTTATACGGTCCTTTTACAAGGACTTTGCTAGTGTTTTTGGCATGTCAAACTAATTTGCTTTATACATTCCTTATTTAGGGATTTAGCCTTCAGCTTTTTAGAAGTTTTTAGAAACTTTTTAGAAATTTCTAATTTACTCCTTTCTTTTACCTTGCTATTATCCAGAATTGTTTAAATTTTAAGATATTTTAGGAATATTCATAATATTAGAAACTATATAATATAAAAACAACTCCCATAATACATATGGGATTTGTTTTATTAGGTACTGAATGAAAATAACAACAGGGGCGCCTGGGTGGCTCAGTTAGTTAAGTGTCCAACTTCGGCTCCGGTCATGATCTCACAGTTCGTGGGTTTGAGACCCACGTTTGGCTCTACTGACAGCTCAGAGCCTAGAACCTCCCTTGGATTCTAGGTCTTCCTCTCTCTCTCTGCCCCTCCCCCACTCCTTGTCTCTCAAAAATAAACATTGAAAAAAAATTTTTTTAAAGAACAAATTACTTGTTTCACTATCAAAAGAATATCCTTCAGATTCTCATAAAATGTTTCTAGAATAGTTAAAATAGACAATATCAAGAAAATTCCAGCATTCATGCTATTGTTGCCCCTTCAAGTGGTCCTTTAGTTCTATTTATTTGTCCATGTCACTACTAGCTTCTTTGGGATCCAATGCAGTCTTTATGACAGGCAGAACAGTATAATTGTAAAAATAACATGCTTAGTGTTTTAAATAAGTAGATATCTGACACACAGTCTTAAGGCTTTATGTAACATTCAGGGAAAATTAAAACATACACAATAACATTAAAAGTACACTGAGATTTTCGTAGTTTTCAAAATAACTGGACATTGCAAATCAGGGAATGCTTTGATAGAGTATATGAAGAAAAGAGGATCTCTCCTGCTAAGTACAAATTTCTTAAACAAAGAAAAGCTTTCTTTTTTTTTTTTTTCAGTTACTTAGGAAATAAGCCTAACTTCACTTTCCTTAATAATATTGGCTTTATGACTCTTAGAAAAATAATGAGATGAAAGGTCCTTTTTCTGTTACATTTGGATGTGAATTTTCATAATTATTCTTAATTTGTTATGCTGAAGATTTAAAACATGACCATTCAGTGAGTTGATACAGATGGAATGTCACATTATCATCACATGGTAAGGCATGAAATTTATTTACTTTACATAATCAACCTCTACTTAAAACAACTTAATACAGATATTCCCAAGTCAATAGATGGCATTATACAGAGCTTAGTAGTTTCATTTTTTTTGCAGATATTAGAAAATACCATCATTGTCCAGTACTTCCAGTAAACAAAATGTTTTTGAAAAGAATGTAAGCAAATTGTAGAGCAGTTGCCAAGATATGAAATCTAGACACTTAGCTTTAGTCCAAAACATATTTTATCTGTTTTGAGAATAATTGTGTAGGTTGCAGTATGCATATTTGAAATGAAATGTGACCATCTGAACTTTACATTGTTCAAAAAAGTTGATTGTCTCAGCTGTTTGTCATACAAAATATTTCAGAATTTCTACTCATGGTCTTCAGAAGAAAAGCACAAACTATAATGTTTCTGTTTTCTTTAGCTCACTTACTGTCTTACATTGTAAAAGTCATCTAGGTCATAGGATTTTAAAGTTTTCAAATTCTTGGGCTACAGGACAAGTTTTAAACTCTTTCTGTTCTAAGACTAAAAGAGTTTGATACTGCCTTTTCATTCTCACCGTCCACTGAAGTGTTTTTTAACTTAAAATTATGTTGTTCTTTCCCCCACTCAGTCTTGAAAAAGCATTTGTCTATCAGCCAAGTGATCTTACTGCCTAGAAGACTTTTTAGTTTTTCATACCTTAATGTTAAACCATATCTTTTTTCAGACAAATACTTCAGTTTTAAAAGCACTGAAGTTTGAAGTTTAGACATAATGAGCTTTAAAAGAAAGAACAAAACTTCCTTCCTATGTCTTAACCTTCTTGGTTTATCTAGAGATAAAAATATGGAGGTATTTGTTTTGGTGACACAGATATACATTAATGTACAACTGTAGTCCTCAGCTCTGTATCAGGATTCACTTATCATATATGTTTTACGTGGTTCATACTTTTCCTATTAATAATGTTAATGCTCTTGTTTTACACTGTTCCTCACTGTTTTGAGGTACATTTTGACGCTTACTTGAGATTTGTCTAGAATTTAAGGAAAAACAAACGGATTTATTACTTTTCAGAGCCTTTTAAATAATTTCTTCCATGATTTAAATTTTTGTATACTTCTCTAGAAGTGTGATCATCTTAGCTTTTAAATAATCCGTAAAAAAAATTTAAACCATAGATTTGAACTCACTTAATAGCAATTATGTGTTTAAGAGGTGTAAATAACTTGGTATCAGACATTCTGAATATCCAGGTGCTCTGTATGTGCTGATGACAACAAAATTGAAACGAAAGACGGTAATAATTCTGACTGGTTTTCTCTGCAGAAGATATTGATTATTTGTGTGTGGTGAGAGATTTGGAAAATTCAATTAAAGGAGTTGTGCAAAGGTTTCATAAATTTTCCTTCTACAGCATGTACACAGACATTGTTGCGTATTAAATCAATGCAGCACTTCACAATATATTTTCTTTGAAACATAAAAATAAATAACATTTAAACAGTTCTGCTTACTACAGAAACAAATTTTATTTTCTGTGAAGCATTTAGTCATGTGCTATCACTGACTCATACACATTTGCCAGCTGTAACAAATTTTATAGACATTTTCTCCAGAGACATATCTCACATACTATGAATTTTTAAATGAGCAAATGGTGAAGAAAGGATGTCAGCAATATAAAAATTGATCAGTTAAAAGATAAAAGCATAAGTAAAGAGATTTGTATGGTAGTCTTAATAGGTTTTATTAAATAAAAATACTATAAAAAGACAGTAATGAACAGACTGAAGACTAACCATTCTTGAGGTGGAGAAAAATTATTCTGGCACATTTAGTAGAAATTGGCTTTATGTCACCTGACAGGTGAACATTTTTTTCCCCCATCTTAACTCTTAGGGTAGTCAGGAAAGCGCCTCAAAAAAAGAGTTAGATACATTTTCTAAGTGGTTTATGTATTTTAAACACATATAGAGAATAATAAAGCAGGTATTTATAGTGTTATATAGCTAATTATATAGTTAAAGCAAGACTTCTGTAAAAATAAGTATTAGGTGACTTTTCCTCTAGCTCAGACCTCATATAGGAGGCAAGAATTTGTTTTAATTCTTCCTGTTCACACCATATGCTTCAGCCCTCTGGAATCTCTCAGAACCCCAGGCCTCTCCTACTTCTCTCTCTATGTAGATTGCTCTTTCTTCCTTCTCTGTCTAGCGAACCCCTGCTCATTCTTTAAGGTCAGCCTCAGATGTCACATCCTCTATGAACTCTCCCCAGCTGGCCTAGGGAAAACGAAATTGCTTCCTCTTCTAGGCTTCTACAACACTTGTCTGAATGTTTAGAAATGTATCACATTGTAGTGTCGCAGTGTATTGTAATTGTCCAGCTACAGGGCTCCTCCTTGGCAAACAAACAAAAGTCCTATCTGTATTGCAGCCTTAGAGCCTCATGTAGAACCTGGGTAGAAGATGCACAGTGGATATTCAATGAATGAATAAAAACAAATGTCATTCTAAGAATTTTGTAAAAGAATGTAAACATTTTCAAATACTTAGAAATTGCTATCTCCTTACATGCCTCATCCGTTTAATATTTTTTGAATGCCTCCTGTGAGTCAGGCACTATTCTAGCATTGATTATATGCTAATGAACAAGACAGACCTGGTCCTGCCCTCAGGATTGTAGAATCTGTCACAGAAGATAAGTAATTATAATAAAGCATAAGCATATCTTATAATAATAACAAGTTTTTTGGCACTTTCTATCCTACATTCTTAAATGTATGTTTCAGAATTATGCAAATCAGTAAGATGTTGAAATGAGAATTTATAGCCCCACAGCTACTTATAATGTAAAATAAAACTTTATGTTTAGGCTCTTTAATTTCATTTGATTCAGCATTTATTCTACATCATATACTGTGACAACTTAAACTGTTTATTGAAAAAAAACTTTTTTCTTTCTTACAGAATCATATCGTCGTGACAGCTATGAATTCCTTAAAGGCATTTTAAACTGAGGTAGGGTTTCACCTTTTTTTTTTTTTTTAATGTTTATTCATTTTTGAGAGGGAGAGAGAATGAGCAGAGGAGGGACAGAGAAAGAAAGAGACAGAATCTGAAGCAAGCTCTCCACTGACAGTGGAAAGCCTGGCAGGGGCTCGAACTCACAGACTGTGAGATCATGTCACGGAGCTGAAGTCAGATGCCTAACTATTGGAGCCACCCAGGCACCCCAGGGTTTCACCTTTCTAATTAAGGTTAGCTTTGTTAAATTCCACTGTTTTGTTCACGTGGAAACATTTTATTTACATTATCAAGTTTGGTACTGGTCTATAAAGAAGATAGGGACATGAACTTTGGAGTTTTTGTTGAAATTATAATCTAACTTTATATCTAAAATATAATGTAACTTTAAAAATAAGAGGATAATCTGACAAGATGTATGAGTTAGAGGCTGATTGAAAAGAAAACTATTGAGCTGATCAGCCTAGCTTTACCAGTCAGAAAGTGCATATTTTTAGGTGAGTGTAAAGAGGGCTCTTAATTTAGCACCTTTAGTATAAATAACTAACTAGATACTGACAGGTGGGTTATAGTTTCTGTAGGACACATGACTGAGCAAGATATAACAAGACTATGAATTTGGAAATGTGGTAAATTAACTAAGTAATTATATATTAATTAGTTGTATCTTTCTTTCAAAAACAGTTCCCTATGGATTTAGCAATGTAAGTAAAAGTGATAGATTTATAACTAGCTTATTATAACATATTAGCCAGAGGCAGTATGAGTCATAATGTGATATTGTCTAATGTACCTATAACTAAAGGCTCACATTAAGAACTAGTCTATCTGAGACTTAGTGGCATCAATATTAAGTAATATTCTTAGAAGCTAACCAGATGTTGCCTGCTATCTCTTAGGAAAAAAAGTAATGCAAAATGAATTATATACTGAAAATACATTTCTTTGGAAACAGTATTTCAAATGATTAGTATTAGCGTCCTAACAAACTAGCTGTTTTAAAAATATTTGCAAAGCATCTTATATACACAAAATTGTGTCACTTGCATTCATTAAAATATTTATTCTATTGTGCACAACAAACAATAGTTTATAATAATAGCTAACATTTATTTAGCTCTGTCAATGTGCCAGATACTATCGTAAGCACTTTATACATATTCTGTTTAACCTTTGCAACAACCTACATGATATACAGTTATTGTCTTTATTTTATAGGTGAGGAAAGGGGTTAAATACCTTGTTCTAGGGGCACCTGGCTGGCTCAGTTGATTAAATATCCGACTTCGGCTTAGATCATGATCTGACGGTTCGTGAGGTCAAGCCCTGTGTTGGGCTCTGTGCTGACAGCTCAGAGACTGGAGCCTGTTTCAGACTGTCTTCCTTTCTCTCTACCCCTCCCCCGCTCACACTCTGTCTGTCTCTCTCTCAAAAATAAATAAACATTAAAGAAAAAATGTAAATACCTTGTCCCAAAATTACCTAAAAGGCAAAGCCAGGATACTAACCGGAGTAGTCTGGTGCTAGATTCTGTGCTTCGCTCACTCATAATAGTGATCTGTGATTTTCAGGTTTCACTACTGGTCAAAAGTTTTAGATCCTATTAAACAGTAAGCATATAATATATATACATATGCACACCTACTTACTATAGGGTTAAACATTTTATACAATTTCTGGTCTGTGGAAACACAACAGAAACTATTAGAAGGTGACCATAAGTATGTAGTTACAGTTCCACATCTGGCAGAGAGCATACACATTTAGTATATGACAGTCTCATTCATGCACTTAGGGGAACTGAGGAGTACTGGGAATAGCTTTGTGTTCCTGGATTCTAATAAAGATCATCACATGTTTTTCTTTTTTTTAATGTTTATTTATTTTGAGAGGAGCAGGGGAGAGGCAGAGAGAGAGAGAGAGAGAGAGAGACCCAAGCAGGCTCCATGCTGTCAGCACAGAGCCCGACGTAGGGCTGGATCCCATCCCCTTGTCCTTGTACCTCAGTCCAGATTATGTGCCGTTCTTCAGACACAGTCCTTGGAGAGAACTTTCTCACGAAATCACGACCTGGGTCAAAATCAAGAGTCAGACACTTAACTGGCCGAACCACCCAGGCTCAAAAGATTGTCACATATTAGGTGTGTTCTTCTGAGTCTTTAATTTGAGTAGTACTTTCAAAAATCTTGAAAGAATGAAGGTCCACCTCCCACTCAACTTCCCTTTTAGTGGGAAGCAGTGGAGAGAAAGGACAAAGAAATGAAACCAGACTTCATCTTTGAGGCATTTCCCTGGGTTGTTTTGACTGTGTTTTGGGCAGTTTCTTCATGATCTCACCCCTTCCTTGGCTTTAGTTCTCACCTTAGTTTAGTACTGTATGTGGTTTCCGGCTCAATTTGTGATCCCTCTCCTCAGCTGTAAACCCACAAACTCAGCTGCCATATAATGTCCCCTAAGTATGCTGATTTTTATTGTTCTCCCCCCAAATTCTTCCTCATTCTGTCTTTTCTAGGGATTACATTCATCCAGTGATAAGGCTCAAAACCTCAAAATCCTGTCCCTTTTTGTGGCCCCATATCCAACTGTTGCCAGGTCAGATCACTTCCGAAAACGTTTACGTCTCCTTTCCATGACCCCTGCACTAATTTATTCCTTCATTACCTCTCATCCATATTATCCTCCCTATGGTAACCTGCCTCTCTGCCCCTTGCTCCCTTTCCCCTACAGCCTGTTCTGCTACTGGACAAATTACACTTAAGAAGATATCACTACCACATTCACAGTAAGGTCAAATTTATACTGACATTTAGAACTTTCCCTAATGTGACCACAGCTTACCTTGCCTTGTGCCTCAGTCCAGATTATGTGCCGTTCTTCAGACACAGTCCTCGGAGAGAACCTCTCATTCCCTTATCTTCGTGCCTGTCTCCTTTGTCTGACATACATTTTCCCCATCATTGTCAAATACTTACCCATATTTCAAAACCTGCTTATAACTCACCTTACATTAGGCTTCCTCAGGTCTCTCTCTTCCATGTTCTCTCATTGTTCCTTTTTTGTGCATTTGTCACAGCTACCCATCTGGTATGACTAAGAGGATATCAAACTCTCTGATTTTGTCCTGTGCCCTAGAAACCTCTGACAGTCACAGTACTCCTGACACCATGTGGCCAGCCTCCCTGTCTGCACATCAGCTCCTGCCCTTTCACACTTCAGTGGTTATTCCTCCTGACCTTTATTATTTAGTGGGGGGAAATAACCCATACAGATTTGCTCCCAGGGCCTTTAATAAGCAAAGCCTTTATAAAATAATGATAGAATAAGAGAGTCTGTGAGTAAGAGAGGCAGCAACCTATGGGTCACAGACGTACAAAGACCAGCAAAGGGATGGTGGAAGCATGATTTGGGTTAAATATTAATAGGCGATACTGGGGTACTTCATCTAGAAACAATTGGGTAAATCATTTGGTTAACAAATTGTGCGGCTTAGTGTAAACAAAGCACTTGCATAATGCCAACCTTCTAAAACCTGGTAGTCAAGCTAAAGGTGCAAGATTAATATTATATACATGAAATGATAATAATATAAGGCAAGTTATAATAAGTAATACAAAAATTCAGACCCCTCTTCTTTCCAAGATTCTGGCCAATAGCAAGTACAAAAAAGGGCTAGGAGTCCAATGAAGATCAAAATATCAACTTGATTAGTTGGAGGAAGTAATAACCCCAACATGGCAGGCCCTCTGGAAGGAACTTGGGGTAACTAATATACATTGTGTTTAAGGCAGAAGTGGAACCTTCTCTCTCCCACAGTGTGTCTAAATCTTGAGCCCTTGAATCTAAACCTTGAACCTGAGGAGAAAGCTGGAACTTTGAAATAGTTCCAGTACCATTTCCATGTACCTCTACAACAGTAAGGACCACAGACCTGCCTGTGCATGATTGCAGATGAGATAGATTAAATGGGCTGGTCTCTTTATAACCTGAAATTAGGGCTTCCTAATCCAAAGATGGATTGGAGTTGAGAGTAGACAGTGAAAGGGAAACTAAGTAATGGGAAAGAGTAGTGTATAAGAAGAGTGACATATAATATTACTGGTAAAATGTGGACCAATGTTCTGGACTTGGGCCAATCAAGTTTGTCCCTCTTCCATGGGATATAGAGAGCAGAATAATTGACACTTCCTTCCTCTTCAGACTAAGGAGTATAAACTAAGAACAAATGAAGAATAAGCAGTAGTGTAGGAATACACAACAGACATAGATCACCTCAGGATGGAGTGATTAGGTCATTATTTAAGAGTTCATTATTTTAAAATCAATTCTAGTTTTTTCACTCTATATTATCTGACAGAGGACATTCCAGACCCTAGTAATAGAAACTTTGTACTTTACTAAGAAGCTTGAATTTGAAAAATGGGTATTTTGAAGGGCTGTATAAACATACTAGGCAGAGAGAACAACATGAAGAAAAAAGGCAGAAAAGCGGAATGATTGAACAGTAGGTTCGACCACATCATTGACAAATCACCAGGCTTAATAAGGTCAGGCTTTACTCTAGGCAGAAGTGGACCAGTGAAGATTATTGTTTAGGGAAGTAATCCAAAATATGTTTTAGAGAGAATAAAATATAATTGTTATACGAAGGATGAATCCTGTCAAAATACTGCCCATGAACTGCAGTATATCTAACTATATCTAACTTGCTTTTCATTTGTGTTCTGAGATATTCATCTCCAGAGCCAGTATGGCAGCGTAGGGACAATACACATGCTACTGCTCCCTGTTCTTGTGTTGTGACATATATCACATTGATCAAAGTATCTGTTTTTGCTGGATCCTGAACTTGACTTCAGAGTCTTTCTCAACACACTTCTAGCGGTCATGATCAATCGATGAAACTTCTTTGCATGGTCTGGCATTAAAACAGAGGACAGGATTTGGATTACATGCCCAGCACTAGCTCTGCTACCTACTTAGCTCTGTGGCCTTAAGTAAGGCACTTGGTTCCCCTAAATCTTAATTATAAAATGGGACTGATAATATATACCTTATGGGATTGTACAAAATAAGCTTAACTAGCACCTCCCCCTTAGTAACCATTTAATGATAGTCTTATTTTCCTGAATGGTATTGCCATTAGTTCTGATAACTGTGTATCAATAACCTATAGGGATAGTAAGTGAATACTAGAGTGCTTAAGATCTTCTAGGAATTCAGACCAGACTCAAGTTGGCAAGAGTTGGTTGTCAAGTTGACAACCTACCTTCTTCTAGGACAAGAATATATGTGGACTCTCATGCAAAGGGAAATGTAGGGGCCTACCATGCATTACTTTATAGCTGCCAATGTAAGCATGAGTGGGGTGTTTCAGGAGTGAAAGGCCCACATGCCCTACGGGAAATATGTCATCACTTTCCAATAGCTGCTCTTGTCAAAGACTTCCTCTCACACAAAGGTCCTAAGCCAAATGACAGGAACTTCTGCCACCACTAGGAGTCCCCAGAGGGACACTCTGAATAGGAATGTCGGTAAATAGTCTCTTTTTTGGGGGGGGGGGCAGCTGTTGTAGAAAACACCTGCTGAAAGGCCCTGAAGGCTTACGGACAAAAGGCATGTTGATTTTGGTGCTTTCAACAAGTAGGTCATGTAGGAGTTTTAGAAATCTGTCAGAAGTATCTCAGATAAATCTTCACATAAAGTGAAGAGTGTGATGTCTGGGTAATCATATTCACAATTATTTGTGAAGGTGACTCTTGCTTGGAAGACTCAAAAATAAGCAAATGAGAGATTACCAATATCTAAACTAGGTACCAAATTACATGGTAAATGGGTGTTTAAGTCATTTCTTAAGTAGTGTAGGAGATGCATGTTAATTTGGAAACTAATTCTTGATTTAACAATCATCTTTTATATCCTGCAGACATTTAGAGGAAATGCACTTACTATGGACACCAACTTCTGCATCTGCCTGATCATATTTAAAGGAACAGAAGAAATGTTTGTAATTAATCTGCCCAGTAAATACCAGATCATAGCATGAGGCAGGTGCGTGTCTAGATAAAATTTCTTGCAGCTAATTTAAACTTTCTACACACAGCAGTAGATAATCTCAATGTAAATAATACATTTCTTCTTGACCCTTTAATGTAAGCCAACATGTAGAAAAGGATCTTGACTTCATTTCTGTACCACATATACTTCTGTACACTTTTAGCATTTATGGATAGACTTAAAGCATTTATGAAAATGGCACCTGTGGGAAAACTGTTATGTTTTAAACTCAGATTAAATCTAATGATGAGGGGCGCCTGGGTGGCCCAGTTGGTTAAGCGTCCAACTTCAGCTCAGGTCATGATCTCACGGTTCGTGGGTTTGAGCCTGCGTCAGACTCTGTGCTGACAGCTAGCTCGGAGCCTGGAGCCTGCTTCCGATTCTTTGTCTCCTCCTCTCTCTGCCTCTCCCTCACTCACACTCTGTCTCACTCTGTCTCTCAAAATTAAATAAATGTAAAAAAAAATTTTTAATTTAAATAAATCTAATGATGAGTGGAATTAGGAACCATTTTCCCATTTAAAGCCCCTGGTGTATATTAATTAGATTTTTTAAACTTATAAAATTTTTCGAGAAGTTTATTGTAGAGCCAATTATCTCAAGGATGACTTTTTATTATACTCTAGTTATTCCTATGTTTGTACAGAAAAACTATTTCAATGTTTTAAAACTTTTATACCTCCTTTTATAAAAAGTAGTGGAATGCATTTTTCAGTACAAACATTTTAAAATATGAAGTTGTTCTTAAACTGAACTACACACTCTACTGAATAGAAAAAGGACCTTTCTTACGGGTTAGTTTGTGATCCCCTCCAAATGGTTTTGAAGCATTAATTTAAATTTCTGATCTTCTGTGCTGTTATTTTGTATTATAATAATCTGTACTCTCACGAGATAAGGGGAAGAAGGTATCACAGGATGTGTTATAACTTGATAACTAGTTTTTTAAAACTTCTGTATTTGTCTTCTGCAGGGGGTAAAAAATGCTATTCCCTTGGTACTTGCCCTAAGTCTTGATAAAATTTGTGGAAGATACTACTATATCATGAAAATAAAAATACTCTATGAAAATCTGAAACAAAATTTAACTTAAGTTTGAAAATAACTGATTTTCCATTTAGAAAAATTTCAGATTCACTTCTTAGAATGAGAGTTTTTAAAAACTATTAAATGACATAGCTACTAAAGAGTAAGCCAATTAACTATTAAACCGAATTGCCTTTACTAATGACTATTGGTACTATTTAAATAAGACTTTTAAGATAATCTAAATATTAAGAACACTTTGTGATACAGTCTTATAATAGGACATTACCTAAAATACACCAAAAAGGATAATTCCTTTGTGTTCTAGCATTGAAAACTAACTTTAGGATGTAAAGCCAAAGCATATAAAGAAACTTACATTATTACTCAGGAAATAAAGGGTTAAGTAGATTGGTTTCATATGTAATGCAAGTTATGTAGGTATGTGCTTAATGCTATTAAATCAGTTACTGTATGTTTGACCCCTTGATATACTAAGCTTTTGCCTTTCAGAACAGCTGGGTCTGCTAAGAATCATTTCCCAGTCCTCTTCATTGTAGATCAGATGACTCTCGCTTTATCACCCTTGGAGGCCACATGAAGGACAAAGCAGAAAGATCCACACACAAAACTAATGTTTATATGGGGGGAGAGGGGGGTGCAGCATGGAGGAAGGCGGGGGATACACTGGCCCTGATCTTCCAATGAACATAACAGGAGAGAGACCAATTGAGACTTGAAACCCCTGTGTTAGTCCAACCATTATTTAGTTACATCCTATCCATCTTTTACTCTTTCTATTGAACAGAGAGGCTCCTTTGGCTACCTTGACTTTTGTAAATGTTTCACTCACTTAGTTGTGGTTTATCATTTGGACAGAATGCTACATCTGGGATTTTTCTCCCCTCCTTAAGGCCTCAAGGGAAAATGGCTTCTGTATGCTTCATATTTGATACATGAACATACACCCTGTTCTCTTCTTTTAAGAAGCAAACCTAAGTTTATTGGCAGCAGAGAAAACTGCATTTCTCAGAAAGAGCCCTTCTCTCTAAAATGAACTTGAAAATAACTTAAAAGCGTTCATTTGACAGGTAGATTAGTGAAGTAAGAAATCTTTAATATTTTGGCATTACCTAAATATCTTTATATTTAGACACCCCAAAAATCCTGAGTGTCATGGAGAGAAATACTTTGGAATTGCCTGTTTCTGTGATTTTAATTCATCACTGGACATTTTTTTGTTGTTGTTTTTTTAATCTTTTAATGTTTATTTTTGAGAGAGAGAGAGAGAACAAAGCAGGGGGAGAGGCAGAGAGAGAGGAAGACATAAAATCCGAGGCAGGCTCCAGGCACTGAGCTGTCAGCACAGAACCCAACACAGGGCTCAAACCCACAAACCGTGAAATCATGACCTGGGCCAAAGTCAGACACTTAACTGAGCCATCCAGGCACCCCTATTTTTGGTATTTTGGAACCTAATCCCTCTAAGTTCAAAGTGGACTCTTCTTAAATTGGTTTTTAATAGATATTAATGATTGCTGCAAGTCTCCATAAAAGCTAGTGTTATTTTCACTATGATTAGATTAAATCATCTGGAAAATGTATATTTAAAGAATTTGCCCATAACATACCTTGAATATGGGTATAGTCTATTTTATTAATATTTATATAATACTTTTATTTTCAAATAATGTTTCTCATTTCCAGTTATTTAGAAGTTAGAACTTCCTCATCATTGATTTAAATCAACATCCTGTGTTAAAACTATGTATGCTATAACAAAAAATAAAAAAAATTGGACTACACCAGCCAGCCAAGATGCTGACATTTGGGCACAGTGATTACAGATGGTGACCATGGACAGCGATGTTCCTGCTGATTCGGCAGTGATTCAAGGCTGCTTTTCTGTGCTGACCTGCCCTTTGAGTCTTTATGCACATTTGCTTTGAAAAAGAAATACTTCCTGATTTTTGCTTTGTCTAAACCTACTTCCTTTATCAGACTTAGAAGCACATACCTTCTTGTATCAGCCTGTGGCTGTCCATGTCTAGAACCAAATTTTCTTTGTATATATGTGTTTGTTGTTTTAAAATATATGACCACTTACTCAATATACTTTAATGGCTGTCTTGTGAAAGAAATATATTCATTAAAAACATACATTGATGTGAAAATAATTGTTTTATTCTTATCACAGAGACTAAAGAGAACATTTTTACATAAGAAACTAACATGGATAGGATACATTATTTTTACCAATTGAGTATGACAGTAATGATAAGCTTCTCCTAACATAGAATAATACATTATTAACAGACCCAAGTCAATATGAAACATGATAGAATCAATGCTCTGGAGGTGGTCATCTTGAGCCATGTCATAACAACAACAACAACAACAACAAAAGAGCAGAAGGATGAAATCCTGCATAAGACCATTTAACTTAAACAGAATGATCCTAGAAGTTTAGAACTAGTCATCATGAGTAATTAAGAAGACATCACTCAAACCACTTAGATTTAAATTCAAGAAAATTCACTGTTCAGTTGCATTTAAGTAAATCAGCATTTCTGGAAAAAATAACATGGTTTCATCTCTCTGCCAAAAAGAAATTTCAAATTTGTACATGTAATTAGGTAGGCACGTAGGCACGTTCAAACGTCAAGCAGTTTAAATTGCCTTATCCCAGTAATTTAAAAGATTATCACAAACATAACCCCTGAGATATCATTTCTAAAGAATGAAATACACAATACCTACATTCTAAGGAAGGAAAATTAAATTTAAATACCAAAATTAGTAATTTCCTTTCAAAAGAAGGGCTAAATTCTCCCAGTAAGCTCACTGGATTTGCAGATTTTTTTTTAAGACAACAAACTATAGAGTATATTTCCTGAGTAAACACTGGGATTAAGGGCATTTTCTCTCATTTTCCCACTTGGATAACTATTACAAAACTACAGTATGTCTTGGCCACTGAATAGTTAGAAAATAAAAGCCTCCACTGGGCTTGGGTCCCCATATACATTTATTTTGTATAGACAACAATGACTTTTCACCATCTTTTTCCTGTAATTCCATGATTCTCAAAATGATAATTTTATTTATACACAGCAGGAGGTCCAAAAAACCTTTAAGCACTGTTAATATTTTCACATGTGTTTGGAGATACAGCTAGTTGATTTTCTTCTGATTTCTTCCACCTTTGGAATCCCACATGATTATAATGTTAAAGTATACCAAGAAGAACAGGAAATGCAAGCAGGATACAAAACAAACCAATACAGAAAATAAGTCCGGTAATTTCTGAGGAGGATCCAGTGTGACTGTTAGCAGTGTCAGAAGTACCATAGTGATGACTGAGATAAAAAACTACAAGGAGGGAAAAAACAAATCACTGAGTAATATAACAGATAAAATGCAAATGTACTGGTAACATTTATTTACAGCTGTAAGTGAGCAGAACTGAAGGTGAGGGGTGGGACTCCAATCTCTTCTATTGGTGGATTTCCTCCTAGGCTGCATGTTAGAAACATGGCGGGCAGGGGGCTAAAATCTCAATCCTCAGGCCATACTTCAGACCAATTAAGTTTCTAGGGTAGGCCTCAGGATTTAAAGCCTTCCAAGTGATTCCCATGTATAGCCAAAGCCTGAGAATTCCTATCATACTTAATACCACCCAAGTACTTAAAAGTTACCTGAAATAGTCACTACTGCTAGTCAGGGTTAAATTCAGGCTACGCTCCAGGGCCCTGAGTCCTTATAGGATATAAAGTTCTAAGCTAATCTAAGAACTCATCTCTAAAAAAGTCTTCCATGACAAGTAGAGAATAATATTTCACATTCATGCAACATTCAATGAACTAATGCTATAGTAAATTATGGTGGGGCATATGAAAGAAAATGTAATCTGGCCTCAAAGAGTTTTTGATTTAATTAGGGAAATGAATGCATGAACTAGTTAAATAAAATCACAAGGTCATATTTTATTAAAGGCCAAAATGAGTAGCAAAAATGCTGCATTTATTGTAATTGTGTAGCAGTTTTCTTTAGACTAGTACATTGTACAAAAGAACTTTTTGCAGTGATCGACACGTTCTATACCTGTATACATCAACAAAAGTAACTGCTAACCACATGTGGCTACTGACCATTTGAAATGTGCCTATTGTGACGGAGTTGAATTTTTTATTTAATTTTACTAAGTTTAAAGTTTAATGTGTCTAGTGGCTACCATATTGGCCAGTTTAGCTCTAGACTGTGGGCTCCTTGAAGACAAGGACCAGCCAGATCTTACATATTTTATCCCTGGGATAGCAAATACACAGAAACTACTTAAGTAAATGTTCTAAGCAAGAAGTAAGAAACCATTGTTGGTGACTTTCATGAAGAAGGTGGGACACAAATGGAACCCTAAAAGATGTTTTAATGGTTATAGCAGGATTTAAAGACCTGAATAAGAGTATGCAGGGCTCATTTCAGATGGAAGCTTAGGGACAGAACCAAAAGGGCTCACAAACAGGTATAAACAGGCTGTAAATACCCTCCGAAAGAAAAATCCCTGAGTCAACCTTAGTGAAAAGTGAAAACTTCTAACTTCTGAATTGAAATCACCAAATGGAAAGTTTCAAACTTAAGAAATACGGGACTGATTGAAATGTCATGATACTGTGATCCTGAATCAGTGTTAAGGAACATGCTAAAATTCCTCCCATTTTAAACAAACTCTAGCTATTACCCCATTTGTCTGCTCCTACTTACAGCAAAGTTTCCCAAAAGAATTGCCTATAACTTAATGCATCCAGTTCTCCTCCCATTTCATTAGTGAATCCGCACCAATTAGACTTTCACTTCAGTTGCTCCAGTGAAACTGCCCTGATCAGAGATCCAAAATGACTTCCACTGTACTAAATCCAATTGTTACTACTTATCTTATTTGATCTCTCAACAGCATCTGAAATAGCCCATTACTCCCACCTCCCTGACACACTTCCTTCACTTACTTACATAACACCATACTCTCCTGGTTTCCTCCAACCTCAGTTAATTCTTCTCAGACAACTCTGCTGGTTCCTTATGGCCCCTACCTCTAGGTATTGTAGTATCCCAAGGTTCAGTACTTATTTGTCTTCTGTACGCCCACCTTTTGTAAGCTCATCCAGCCTGGACCTCTCTCCCTTAAATTCCAGACTCATATTCAAATGGACATGGCAATAAGCATCTAAAACTATGCGTACAAGCTATCCTTAATAAGATAACATAACATAATAAGGTAACACAACACAACATGACAACATCATGACCGGAGCCAAAGTCAGACAGTTAACCAACTGAGCCACCCACGTGCTCCATAAACACACTGGAATTAGATGAGAATACAAAAGTAGGAAGAAATCTGGAAAATCCCCAAATATTTGGGAACTGAACAAGTTTCTAAGCAATTCATGAATCGAAGAAATCACAATGGAAATGGATTATATTTTTAACTCAATAGAAAACAAATGTCAAAATTTATCAAAAGCTGCCTTAACATGACATAGGAGGATGTACAAGTTTGAATGCCTCTATAAAAATGGAAGAAAATTTTTAAATCAATCACCTGAATTTGTAAAGAAACTAGATAAAAAGTAAACCAAAGGAAGTATGAGAAAGAATAAAATTAGAATGAAATCAATGAAATAGAAAACAGTAAACCAGGGGTGCCTGGGTGGCTCAACTGATTAAAGCATCTGAGCCTTGATTTTGGCTCAGGTCATGATCTTGCGGTTTATGGGTTCAAGCCCCGCATCAGGCTCTGTACTGACAGCTCAGAGCCTGAAGCCTACTTCAGATTCTGTGTGTGTGTGTGTGTGTGTGTGTGTGTGTGTGTGTGTCTTTGCCTCTCCCCCACTTGTGCTCTCTCCCAAAAATAAATATTAAAAATTTAAAAAGGTCAAGTGTATTTGCATACAGTAACAATGAACATTATAAAAACAAAATTAAGAAAACAATTCCATTTACAAAAACATCATAAAGAATATTTAGAAATAAATTTAACATAAGTACATAAGACCTGTACAAGAAAAAATACAAAACACTGTTGAAGAAAATTAAAGACTATCTAAATAAATGAAAATATATCCTATGTTCATGGATTTGGAAGACTAAATCTTACTAAGATAGCAATATTCCACAAATTGATATACAGAATCAAAGTAATCCTTATCGAAATCTCAGCTGAGTTTTCGGAGACATTGACAAGCTGATGTGAAAAATAATATGGAACATAACATAGCTAAAACAATCATGAGAAAGAACAAAGTTGGAGGACTCACATTCTGAATTTTAAAACTAACTACAGAGCTACAGTAATAAAGACAGTGTAGTATTGGCATAATGATACACATATGGATCAGTGGAACAGAAAAGAGTCCAGAAACAAACCCTTATATTTAGGATCAGTTGATTTTCAACAAAGGTATCAACATAATTCACTGGCACTGGAACAACTGAATAAAGTTGGACTCCTACCTCACAGCATTTAGAATTAACTCAAAAAGAATCAATAACCTAAAAATAAAACATTTAAGATTTTATTTTTAAGTAATCTCTACACCCAACGTGGGACTCAAAGTCATGACCCAAGATTAAGAGTTACACACTCCTCAAACTGAGCCAGCCAGGTGCCCCCTCAAGATAAAACTCTTAAAAGAAACAGAAGGGTAAATCTTCATGACCTTTACACAATGGTTTCTTAGATAAGATATCAAAAGCACAGGGGCATCTGGCTGACTCAGTCAGTATAGCATGCAATGCTTGAATTCAGAGTCATGAGTTCAAACCACAGGATGGATATAGAGATTACTTTTTTTTTTTAAGTTTTATTTATTTTTGAGAGAGAAATAGAGACAGTGTGAACAGGGGAGGGTCAGAGAGAGAGGGAGACACAGAATCTGAAACAGGCTCCAGGTGCTGAGCCAGCTGTCAGCACAAGAGCCCGATGCAGATCCCGAACCCACGAACCATGAGATCATGACCTGAGCCGAAGTCAGACGCTAAACCAAGACTGAGCCACCCAGGTGCCCTGAGCTTACTTTTAAAAAAAAGGACAAACAACAAAAAACAAAGAAATAGACATATTGGACTTCATAAAAATAAAAAAAACTTTCATACTGGACACAATACCATTAAG